GCGGGTGAGTGGCGGAGCTGGTGTGTGAACCTGGGATCGTCTGCCTCCTCCCGGCTTGGCACTGACGTGCGGGACACGCTGTCCTAAACTTTCTAGAGCAGAGAAGCCTGCCAAGGAGCTCACAGGGAAGACAGATAAGCACCCATCACAACTATGTGGAGCAAAATACTTCTGTTTGAGTCATATGTCTGCCTTCCACCTCTGCCGGGAGGCACATCTGTCACTGGCTGAACCCAGCACAGTCTGAAAAAGTCACTTCAAGGGAGACAAATCTTCAGATAGTGATTCACAAATGAAAATAACTTTGTTTCTCAAAAAGACCTCTGGGTGCTCCTCACAAGCTCCCCTGCTGTCTAGCTCCATGATCAAGAGCTCTGATTATTTACTCCTCAGACTCGACTGCACATTACAACAGACGTGGCTGTCAGGTCGACTCACTGGGTTAAAAGGAAACTGATGGACCCCCATGGATGGCCCGACTGGCTCTGGTTTCCGGCAGCTCCCTTCCTCTCGGCCTCAGTTTCCCCAGAGGGACAAGGGGAGTGGGACTCTATGGTACAGGTCCCTCCCTGTGATAAGAAGTGGCAGTGGGAGGCCACCTTGTGGGATGGTGCCGGACACTTCTATGCAGACAGGAGCCCCCAGAACCTGGTCTCCTGATGGTCCTCCCCTGGTGCTGTTTCAATATAGGGGGTCCCACCAGAGATGTGGCAGGAGATGGTGCAAGGGAGACAAGAGTCTGGGACCCTCCCTGTGGTTGTGGGACGGGATGGGCGCCAATCATTGTACGCTACATCTGTGATGGCTTCAGGGAGATGTCACCAGGGCTCTGGAGTTGGACCCGGCAGGCTGAGTCCCTGGCTCTGCCCCTGACCAACTGTGGGCCCCTGGGGCAAGTCATTGCTTCTCTGTGGACCTTAGCTTTGGATCTCAGTTCCTCTCTCTGTACAGGGAGGTGCAGGAGGGTGGTCATGAGGGTTAAAGGAGACGATGCACACAGAAGGTGCTCGGTGGATGCTGGCGATTATGCTCCTGATGGAACACCACCCTGCAGGCCAAGACCCCTTCAGTGGGGATGCCAGTTTCACTCTGCAACAAGGGAGTTGAGGCCTCCAGGACAGGTTCAATCCCTGTCCTCGAAGTGGCGCATCAGAAGTGAAGATGCCAACCTGTGCCCGACCCTGGCCTGCCTCTGCACCCCCAATGCTTGGCCCCAGCCGTGGGTCCCTCCCAGTGTGGCCGCCTTCTGTGCAGGCTCCCTGTTCACCTTGCAAGGTGTGCCACAAAGCACAGGGCCAGTCAGACCACCTTCGAGACCCCCAACAGAGTGACATCACCACAGGCTCCTCATCCCCTTCCCTGTGCTGGGAAGGGGCTTTGTGTGGGCTCAGAACTGCATCTGGAGGACAGGGGGACGGGGCAGGAGGCCATTTCTAGACCTTCCCATCAGTCTCATAATTCGTTCCTGTAAGACTCTGGCTGGAGTTGGGGTGTTCACAGCAGGCCACGAGCGGAGGCCAGGTGGCTGGGGAAGGCAGCTGTCTCAGTGGGTGGAAGGGGCTGACCCACTCGATGGAAGCCACATTACTTCTCTGCGGAGGGTGGGGCTGAGCTCTTGGGGAACCTGACCGTCTGTTCCAGGGGCTGTGACCCCACGTGGCAGGTTGATCAGGGGCTGGCCAAGGACACCATCAGCGTTCTGAGGGAGAGAGCAGGTGAGGAGCACCAGGGCTCTCTAGGGAGCTTGTGGTGGGTGTCACCTACCATCTCCCAAATCTTAGTGAAATGTGGGCCACAAAACTCTGAGAGAAGGGAAGAATTTCATTCCCAAGAAGAGGGGACCACCCAAGCTCCAGGAGTGCTGTGCTCACCCCTGGGGGCGATGACCCCCCATAGCGCAGTCCCTAGCTGGCTTCCACAAGTGCTAGTCTGGAGACCTGGCCAGCAGGGCTGCCTCTGGGAGGAACGCCAAGCATCCCTTCGAGCAGGGCAGCGTTCTGAGAAGCAGAAAGAACCTCTGCCTTCCAGATAGGACAGAGATTCTGATGCCCCTGCCTCCCTCTCACAGCATGCTGGGCCTGATGGACTGGGGTGCACGTATCCCTGCAGCTGCTCGCAGGCCAATGGCCCACAACAGCTTCTGCTGCGTATCCCCCAGTGACAGGAGGCTCAGTGTACCCATGCAGGTCATTTGCAGGGGTCCTAAACTCCCGTCTCCCCCTTGGTGGGCCCAAAGGGTCCCACATGCTCTGCATCCTCAGGGAATTTGAAAACAATCCTGGGTCCAGGTTTCCTTATTCAGGTAGACAGGCAGAATCGGAACACGGGATGTGACAAGAGAAGGAAACGATTTTGCCCAGCAATCTTCACCCTACACAGCTGCTCCTTAGCAATGGACCCTGTACCCCAGGCTGCCAGGACCCATCAGAGAGAGCTCCTGACAGCGGAGAGAAACTGGGATAAGGACAGGACCCAGCCAAGGGCTGCCTTCCTCCCTCACCACACCAGTGGCTGAGTGTATTCCTGCTGGGACACTCACACTCACACACACATGCATGTACGCTCACACATGCACACCTGCCGCACTGACTCAGGTGGGGACTCTGCCCTTCATTCCCGAGCAGCCACACTCCGGGTCAACAAATGGGGCCGTGATGACGTTTCAGCAATCCAACCAAACTGCTTCAGTGCACCACAGGTACCTGGAAAGGGGCCTGTCCACCTCTCACCCCACTCTGACTTGGGGATAGGGAAACAGTGACAAAAGGCCAGTGTTCAGAGCATCCTCCAGCCCTCGAGGGACCCAGCCTCCTCCTTCTACACCTCAGGAGTCAGAGCTGAGCTAAGGCTGCTTGGGACAAGCACAACTGGCAACTGCTCCGCAGAGGAACACAAGGTGAAAGACTCGAAGAGACAGACGGGGTGTGATGCTGCACCTGTCTTCTATTAGCAGCCTGACAGACACCTGAAGCAGAGACTCAGTGACGTAAAACCAAGGTCAGAATGGATGCTTGTGGACTTAGAGACAGATTCTGGGAGTTCTATCTAAAGCCTCTTGTCCTTTGTGAACAATCAAATGTACAGAAGTTCCAAAGCCATGGAACATGAGTGAGCAGGTTCTGGCCCCCTGAGACCTGATGTCTTATATGGAAAGTGCTTCTCCCTGAGTGGATATACAAATCACCTGGAATCTTGCAGAACAGACTGTGACTCCATAGGTCTGGGTGGTACCCAAGATGCCATATTTCTACTCTGCTCCCAGGTGATGCCAACGTTCCTGGGATCACGCTCTTGACCGGCAACATGCCAGGTTCGACTGGAGTCTCAACAGTAGCAGTCAAGTGACCTGCAGAAGGCCCATCCAGGACAGGCCCAAACCCCACACCTGCCTTTGGTGCTATCTCATGCTAGAGGCCCACAGTATCTAGGAGAGTAGCTACCTGAGCCCTTTCAGCCCCCAATCAAACTGGTGTTTGCAAAGAGCAAACTCCTGGATGGTACAAACTCCTCCCACCCCTGAGAAGCACAGCCCCTTCTCAGCCACATTAGGGGACAGACAGTTCTTAGATTCTAGTGAGTCAAGAGGAGAGGGAGTACAGGAGAGACGTGGGGTAACGAAGAATCATAAGCCACGGGACTACTTTTGACTTTGGCTCTCAGCTAGGTGCTGGGGATATAGAAAGAACATGAGACAAGCTGTCCTCTTGCAGCCACAGCTGGCAGGTGAGACCAACACCCACAGAAATAACCCTGTGACAGTGTGGGAAACGCTCCATCAGTGACAGGGCTGGGAGACTCCATGGGCCCCAGAGAGGCTGCAAGAACAACATGGGACACATGGCAGGTACCAGGAGAGCTTGCAGAGACAGTGCTATGGGCCTGGGTCTCAGAGGAGGCACGGGGTCTTCCAGACAGGATAAGACTAGCAAGGTATTTCAGGCGTAAAAGTGTGACGTGCACAGGCATGCTATATCCTGGGAAAGGAGAGTAGCTCGTGCTGCAACAGGCAGAACATCAACTGAGGGGGCTGGGGCAGGCACTGTGCTCATTACCAGGGGACAGAAAGGGAAGTAGGGTCTAGCTGTGTACAGATAAGGAGATTTAAGGCAAAGTCAATTTTCCCTTCATGACCTTCAGTGTGGTAAGAATTAAATGAGTTACTTGGTGTCTCTCTTTTTACATGCATAATTCTTAGATGCAAACAAATGTCTTGGCATCTGGCTTTCACTTCTTAATATTAGACAAAGGCATTTTCCTAGGTGATTAACACCACTTATTAGTGGTCACACAATATTCCATCACATAGGTGCATAAAAATCCACTTAGCCAATCCCTGGTGCTTGAAACGGCAGTTGTTCCCAATTTTTCATGATTATAAACAATGTCTTTTCTGAATTCAACTTTGGCATAGATTCTCAGGAATCAGAATCAAAGGGTGTGAGTCAATCAAAAGTTTATGACTTGTGACATGTGGCCAGATACTCAGACTCTGGGAAACCAGCCTTGGAGGAGGCACATGAGCGGCTCAAGGGGCTTTTGGCCAGAGTAGAGGGGACTGGCTCAGCCCTGAGGCTGGGATATGGTTGCCCATGTTCTGAGAAGGCTCATGCTGGGATGGAGACGCGGCAGCCCTGTAAGCCAAGCAGGTCTGTGTCAGCCAGGAGTGACTGAATGGGAGAACTGGGCTCCATCAGCCCTGGGAAAAGCTATTCTGCAAATACTGAGCTCTACCACCAGTCCCAAGACAGGATCAGACCGCAGGAGCATCAGGACTGTCTCTTAAGATGGAAAGACTAGAATCTAGATCCTGGGCACCAGACCCTGACCTTCTCCATGGGGCCTACATCATCTTTGAAGGACACTTGGTACTAGGAAAAAAGATAGCCCAACTGGATTGTCAGACAATGTGCCCACATTTTTCTGTGGCAGGCTGGGACCCTGCGCATCCCTTCACCTTTGGGGCTCAGCAGCTACCTCCTGAGCAGACCCCAGCTGCTTACCTGCCAGGGCTGGGATGGTGACCCGGTTCCATTCCCACGGCTGGTCGTACTCGTCGGCAGGCCTGTCATCATCCTGGGGCAGCTTGCTCTCGCGCAGTCGGGGGCTGACCGTGCTCTCTGAGTCCGAGTCCACGCTTTGGCCTTCGGGTTCATAAGGGGTGTCATATAACTGGATGCCTTTGTGCTGGGACCGGACACTTTCCTGCCTCTGGAATTCTGCAGACAAAAAGGAAGGAAGCAGAGGTGTAATGGGTGCACAGCGGGGAATTTGGGATCCCTGCCAGGGAACACCCCTGAGTCCAGAGTGGCTGGCCAGGGAGGTGAGGACAGCACAGGAATAGCCCTTTTCTGTTTCCTGCAGCCTAGGCGCAGGGCAGGCAGCATCTCTGCTCTCCCTGGGGGTGGGTGGGGGAGTTGCTCACAGAGATCACAGGCTCTTGGGTGGACCTCAGGACAGCCCCGGACACCAGGTGCAGGTGTATTCTGACACTGCCCAGCCCTCTTGTTCGACAGCCATGTGGGGACACTCGCCACTGGAGCAGTTCACCACCCTCACTGGACCTTCAGGCCACACTGCACAATGAGAAGCCCAGATGGGGACCATGCATATCAGCTGGGTATTTATTTATACCAGGAGAGGCAGGAGCAGCTGGAAGGACGGATGCTAGGATATGCACTCCAGGGACCCCCGGGTCAAACAGGGAACCTGACTTTCTTGATCTTGAATACCCACTGTGTGCAGGGTCCATGCTGGGGACCTGGGCAGGGTTCACTGCCAAGGCTGTTCCTGAGAAACCCAAATTTCCAGGGGACAACATGTGCCTAAATCACCATGATACTCAGGGGCAAAGGGATCACAGTGTGGGACCTGAGAGGGGGACGGCAGCACAAAGGAGAGATGGCATTTGAACTGACGGCTCTGAGAGGTGGAAACAGGAGAGGGAGGGCTTTCCCTGTGGCAGCCCAACTGGACTGTCAGACAATGTGCTCACTGCCTACCTTAGCTTCTTATCCAGTGAGATGGATGTGACAAGTGACCATTTTAGTCGTTAAGTATGCAGCTCAGCATCATTATGTATGTCCACACTGTTGGACAGCCATTCCGTCATCTGTCTCTAGAACTTTCTCATCTTCCCAAGCTGAAACTCTGTGCCCGTTAAACCACGACTGCCCCATCTCCGCTCTCCCCATGCCCTGTCAACCCCCAGGTCTCCATGGCTCTGACTACTCCAGGAACAGCCATCAAGTGAAATCATTGGGCATTTGTCCTGTGACAGGTTGAGCAATGTTTCATCAGACGGCTCTTCACTGTCTGCTCTGCTGTCCCAGGTACAAGGTGGGGAGACGGGGTGAGGGTCCTAGAGTGAGCTCTTTAAAGGACTCTGAAGCAGTCTCCAAACCAGAGCTCCATGGCCTAAAGATACAACAGAAGAACCAGGGGTAACAGGCCTCTAAGAGAAGCCCATGAAACAGGGATGATGGCAGCCAGCTGCCTTTGGGCTGGGTCTTCCAGTCCAAGGCCACCTCAAAGGGACAATAAAAAAACCTTTCCCCACCCCACACATATGCCCTGATGAAACAGGAGCCAATGATGCCCTGTGGTGTTTGCGTTCACGAACTTTACCCTGGTATTTCTCCAACAGTCACATACCGACTTTGCTGCTCGAGGACCATGTGGGTTATTATTTACCACTTTTATTTATGTATGTTGTTAAGTAAATAAATTCACTTCAGAAGACTCTTTATCACATAAGCCATTATCCTTTGCCAAAAATAGATGCTAAGCATACAAAGAATGAATGAGAACAGAACCAGCTACTGGGTAGCGCTGTCTGCTGTGAGGACCTGGGGCTTGCTTTCTCTCTACTGAAAAGGGGGATTTGCAAGTGTCAGAGGGCTGGCAGGAAGATGCTCTGTGGAAAACAATCATTTCTTCTCTCTAAAAAAGGAGAAAACAAACAGGAAAAACCTGCTGTTTCTCAGGCCACCTAAAATCATGTCTCCTCTGAGAAGATGTTCCATACTTTGCAAAGCATGTTTTTTTGTGTGTGTGTGCTGGGAATTGAACTCAGGGGTGGTTAAATACTGAACTAACCACGCATCTCCATCCCTTTTTATTTTTTACTTTGAGACAGGTCTCACTAAATTGTCCAGGGCCTCACTAGGTTGCTGAGGCTAGCCATGAATCTGCAATCCTCCTGCCTTAGCCTCCTGAGTTGCTTGGATTACAGGGGTGCATCACTGTGCCTGGCTAAAACATGTTTTGTTTTAGTACTGGGGATTAAACTCTGGGGTCCTCGACCACTGAGCCATATCTTAAGCCCTATTTTTATTGTATTTAGAGACAGAGTCTCACCAAGTTGCTTAGTGCCTTGCCACTGCTGAGGCTGGCTTTGAACTTGTAATTCTCTTGTCTTAGCCTCCTGAGCCACTGGGATTACAGGAGTGTGTCATCATGCCTGGCTAAAACATGGTTTTTATTGTGTCCTACAAATAAACAGGGATCATTTATTAGTTTTGAGCATGATGTCCACCCCCACCCCGTTTTTTATTGTATTTTATTTTAATTTTTTACAGAGGGAGAAAGAGAAAGGAAGAGCTATAAAATGGTAGTACCATGTCACTTTAAAGTGAGGACCAACTGTAAAGTACCGTAGACAACTTTGTAAATCACTCATCTACCAAACTACTTGATCTTCTACTTAATACTTTGGAGGGCTCCTTGTCCTCTGCAGTATTCTCCTCCTGTTCTGAGAGGTGAAGTCTAGCCTCCTGCTAGAGGATTCAAGGCTGAGGACCCTCGGGCTGGGAATACTGGGGGTGCAGATGATAAGGGGCTGAGCTGGGAAACCACTTTCCTCTTTACTCTCCACAGGCAGAAACAGCAAATATTTGGAACACCATCATTTACAAAGCACTTCTCGTGTGCATTGCCATTCAATCCAAGGGAAGCCTTTGCTGGATCCCTCCCAGGTCCTGGCTCCAGGTGCAGGTACTCTGTGCATGTAGATGGAGAACTGATGGACAGACACCACCTTTTTGTGTGTGCTGGGGATTGAACCCAGAGCCTTGTGCATGTGAGCCAAGCACTCTACCAACTGAGCTCTAACCTCAGCCCAAGACACCACTTTTTACCCCTAAATTCTAGTTAATTTACAAAAGTCCCTGTCGCCAGTGACAAAGAACCTGGAGGAAAATGCCAGGCGCATGCAGTTCGGCATTACATAATATTCAGAAGAGGCGATATTCCACGTAAATATCAACCTAAAAGGAAAGCATGTGCTGCGAACAGATTAGCTATTAAATCAGAGGGACTTGTGCTACACCTCTCATGCAGGATTTACGGTTCTGGAAGCATCTGTGCCTCACCAAAGCTGGGTTTGAAATGGCATGCAGTTAAGACAGGGGATGTTATAATGGCAATCATTAAAACAAGCCTCCTCCTGTATTACATGGTGAATTCAAATTTTCATTAAGGACCCAACAATAGGGAACAGTTAAGTAAATTATGGCGCGTTAACTGGATGGAATATTAAGTAGTCATTAAAATGATAAATTGGAAGATAATGTAGCTACATGGGAAGACGTGCATGAAATTATGCTAAACTAAAAAGTAAAATACAAAATTGTTTATGTGTGAGGGCAAAAGTATGTAACGTGAGCTTTCTAAACAAGTTCTGGGCAATGTGAACAATGCCCCAAAGGGAATTCTGTTCCTTGCTTAGGAATTGCTCAAAAGCAGCACGGCACATTTTGCTCATAATATCCAAACTCTGGTGACAGCAATGTCGTTAAGTACAGACACACACGAATAAAGAGCTGAAAACCCGATACAGGAAGGTAAACAGCTACTGTGCAGGGAAGGGATTATTGCATAATTATTTTTGAAAGCTGTAAATAATGAATAAAGATGCTACAAAGGAAAAAAATGTAATTAAGACAGAAAGTAAATGTGATGTTAAGCAGGCTGGGTCTCCAGGAGCTGTTTGTGTCTTGGAAGCAGCAGTCTTTCCCTGGGAAAAGGCTCATTCGGGGAGTAGCTTCTCTGGAGGGGCTGGCCAAGAGCCACCTTGTGGGACAGGCCAGCTCACCACACATTGCTGTCTCCTGCCTAGTGACCAGGCCTGTCCACCTTGTTAGCCAGACCCCTCTGGGACGGTCCCAAGGCTGATGTAATAGGGAAGCTAGTGACCATATGTTGTAAGTCACGAGTTATCTGGATATGGCCATCTACACATTCGTGGAAAATGACCTTTAATACTGGATGGCAGGCAGTGATTTCATGCCTCTTAGGCAGCGAGCAGAAACATTAAATTGACAGGGTGGGGATTTCTGTTGACCTCTGGAGTAGAAAGGTTTTCGAGTGGAACGAAACATGGGGGAAAAAAATGGAAAAGAAGGCATTTTCTTCAGAATCAGAAAATGTTAGAACTGGAGGGAGCATAAGAACTGGCCTGGGCATATTTACCAGGAAAGCTGGTGGCCGTGGAGAAGACAAGGGCTGGGGAAGAGAGCAGGCAGAGCTGGAGTGGGGGGCAGGGGGGAGCTGGGACCAGCTTGGCTTGGATGAGCAGCCTCCTGAGTGGATGTGACAGGATTTAGAGACTCCCCACTCCACTAGCAACAAGCTATACTAACTGCACATACCCTCTGTTCCACACATGCACGGCCTTCTCCTTGGTCAGTGCCCCCCCCACCAGACTGGTAATGCCAGTTTGTTACAATGGACGCATCAATATCACCCCAGTCTCTAGTTTGTATTAGGGTGTACTCTTGGTGCTGCACATTCTATGGGCAAATGCATAATGCATGACATGTATTGTCACATCATACTGTCACATGAAGCATTTATAAGGTGTTCTGCCTAGTTGTTGCTCTCTCCTCCCTAACCCCTGGCTACCACTGATTTTTTTAAACCATCTCCATAGTTTAGCTTTTTCCAGGATGTCACGCAGGTAGAACCACAGTATGTAGCCTTTTCAGACTGGCTTCTTTCTCTAAGTGATATACATTTTAGTTTCGATAGCTCTAGGGACTGAACTCAAGGGCACTCAACCACTGAGCCACATCCCCAGTACCATTTTATATTTTATTTAGAGATAGGGTCTCATTGAGTTGCTCAGCACCTCACTTTTGCTAGGCTGGATTTGAACTCATGATCTTGTCTCAGCCTCTTCAGCTGCTGGAATTACAGCACCACCACACCTGGCGCTCAT